CCCCCCCCCCCCCCCCCACCGTCCCACCTCTTCGCGGTCCCCCGCCTTCGTTTCACGTGAAAATTCCACTCTTCGGCGGGATGTTCCTCGAAAAATCAGGGCCGAGCGCAAGGCCCTGAAATAAATGCCAAGCCGGAGGATGTGACAAAGCTCAACATGGACGGAAGCGAGGCTCTGCGGATGTGGATCGCCGCTGACTTCGGCGGTAGCTGGGTGAGATGACATAGCAGTTTTCCGTGCCAAGCTGAACCATTTGTCGTTGCCCTACGCGCCCAGCAAACGGCTTCCTCGTTGAACCCTACGTGGGCAAGACGCAGTCGTTATTTCTTGGCATTGGGGACAATCCGCACGGTGATGGAATGGTGAACCTCCCGCGCCCTTGTAGATTGCACTTGGAAGGAGGGGGTAATGTGCATGAGCTTGTTTCGTGTACTCTCAACCCGCGACTTCCTGGATACAGTGGTTCCGTAAACAAGCCACCGCACGCCGACATTCGGTTGTGTTACTGGCGTATTGCATGCCGAAAGTTACCTTCCTCGAAGTTGCACATGTACGAATGCCGCTTGTGTCACCGGCGCTAGGAGAAAGTTACTCCGACCTGCTCAACGGCACCCCCCCCCTCCTTGATTGTTTTTCGATTTCGCGGTGCCGCTGTTGGCGGGTTAGGTGGAGCTGCTGGGGGAGCTGCAGCTGTCTTTCGTGTTGTTCGTGTCGCTGTCGTCTCTCGGAGGGTTTCGACACTGGCAGGCGTTGTCCGCCCTGCTTTGCCGGTGCGGGGACGCGCTCAAGACCGACCCCGCCCTCTTCACCGCATTTATCCGGGTAAGGTTTGCCTTCATGTCGTCGTCGTCGTCTTGGCTATTGTTTTTGTTGTACCAGCGACGACAAACGTATCACCAGCAGCAGTATTTACAGCAGCGAGCAAGACGTGGTCACCCCCACCACCATCAAACAAGCATAGCGACGAATCACGCTTCTACCCAGGCAGCATGTACACATGCCGGTGCATACCTCATGTCGTTGTGCTTTCCCATTTTCGCTCAATTCGTGCCCTCGGCTGTGGCGTTTTTCCTCCGTCTGCAGATGCTTCACGCGCACCTCAAGCTAGTTCCGGAGGACTTCTTCGACGTGGAGCTGTCCAAGGACAACTTTTTGGTGCCGTGTCTCTCGGCGCTTCTCCAGGCACGTTGTTGTATTCGCTGCTGTTGTTGTGGGTGTTGCTTTGATAGGGTCTCTCTCCCTCCCCAATCCCCTACTCCGCCGTTTCTTCAGCCGTTTCGGCTACGCTATTGGTTCCACTTTGCCTCTCTCTCCCCCCCTGTTTGGCGGAAAGCGCATTTTTTCGTCTCTGACAGTGTTCTGCTTCGCTTCTTCCGGCGGACGCCGTCCTCCGAAAAATCTCCCTGCACCGAAAATTCTCAGAATGTTTTGCCCGACGAGTCTCTCGCGCCGCTCCTGCTCGATGCCGGCAAGAGGCTGCTTAAGTTCTTGCAGCAAAGGTTCGGGCTGTTTCTTTCCGGCAGCCATGCCGGCGATGGCGATGGCAACGGCATCAGGGGGAGGGGCGGAGGAGCATCAGCAACAGCCTCTATGTCATCGCGTTCACTCAGCGGCGGTGAGGATGAGCGGAGTTCGTTCGCGGACCCAGCGGCGTTCTCGGAAGGGGCCATGGAGGCCATGGATGCTGGGGACAGCAACCAGGCCGAGGGCGTGGAGGGGCTGAGCTTGATGCAGCTGGAGCTTAACGAAGAAGACCAGCCAGCGGTAGTGCCATATGGCGAGGTTCGTGTTCTTGTTGTGGAGGGGTAGCCTTAAGCGCTCCACTGGATCTACCCTACCCTGTGCTACGAAGTAGTTGATTTCACGAAAACGTCCAAGGTTTCCATTTTTATCTGTCTCTCTCTCTCATCCCCTCTCTCTATCGTGGAACCGAGCCCGGGCTGCATTTCGTAGTCGGAGGCAACTTCGCGAGAGGTTGCGTCTCACTCGCTGCTCTCAGCCCTCGATGGCAATAGCGCTATTGCATCTTCCTGCATTTGTAGCCTATTTCTTGGCATGACATGCATTGAGTTTTGCATACGTGTCTACACGTGTAGCGTGTATCTCGTCCGAAGTGCCACCGTCGTAGCTTCGCTGAGTCGCGTGACCGCACGGGCAAGCGGTTCGTATGGGTGTAAACGACACGCACGTTCTTCGACACTCGAACCAATCGCTGACGTCCACGCGTCGACAACAGCCACAATCACCTCCTGGAAGGAAGTCTACCCCACCCCGTTCATCGGCAAAAAATTGTTTTTGTACGCATATATTGACGGGATCGCTTCATTGGCCGCGACGATTTGTTCCATGGGGGGTTAGGTCATGAGGGCACTTGGGGGCGACGCGTTGGGCCTAAACCAGAATCAACATCAGCATCAGCATCAGCCGGAGGAGATGGAACAGCAGCAGCAGCAGCAGCAGCAGCAGCAGCAGCAGCAGCAGCAGCCGAGGTACGCTCCGAAGTCCGTGACACCAACCTCCCGTCCCGCACGCGACCACCGAGAACCGGTGACGGCTGCTCCAGCAGGTGGGGGGCAGGGGAAAGACAACGGTGGGGTTGGGGTAGAGGGGGACCGAGATGGCAGTGGTGGGCACAAATTGTCCTCGGATGCTGAACCTGTCAACGCTGTTCTGTCGACCCCTTCGGTGGAGCACTCCCAACGTTGGCGCGAAATCGATCGCCTTCTTGAGGCCGCCTCACCTGCAGAAAAAGTGCGGAAATCACCCTCGATGGTAACCCATGGTTCCGCCGCCACGGCCGCCGCCGCCCCACACTACGGGGACCAGCGAGAAATGGCATCCACGGCGCCCCCTATTGCTGCTGCTGCTGCTACCGCTGCTGCTGCTGTCACGGCTACCGCTGCTGCTAGCGTCGTAGTTCCGACCGCGCAAGCAGCAGCACCAGCAGCACCGGCCATGGCAGTGCCAGCTACCCCATCCGCCGAGGCGGCTGCTGCCGCGAAGCGCTATCCACTTCTCTTTGCGGCCACCCGGGCAAACGAGGACGTGATGATGGCGGCGGCACGCCTTGTGGACCCGGAAGAGGGGGAAGACTTTAGCGGCGGCAGCGGTCGAGGTGCGGCGGAGGCATCGGTAGTACGGGAGGCGGTTGCGTTTTTGGAGGAGGTCGGGGCCAGTGAGGACGGGGCAGCGGCGGTCTGGCAGGTTCCAGTGCCCGCAGCGGCAGGGGGGGTACGGCGTAGATGACGAGGGAGAACCACTCCCCCATTTCCATTTCTAAGACGTTGTGAGTGTGCTTTAGCAAGTATTTGCCTTTGACGGGTAGGAGAGCCTTCTGTCGCTCTCTCACAACCCGCCATATCGGTTCGTGTGTTGGCTATGCACGCATTTTGCTTGTCGCTACGCTCAGTCAATATCCGTGCATATGGCTTTCTGTGTTGTGCTGTGGTCGAAAATCTGTGCTCTTCAGCTGTTCACCTTTGGTCTTTCCACGGAAGCGCAGAATAACCCATAGCATATGCGTCGTGCTCGGCAGCACGGGCCATATGGTTGGGCATGAGGAACCTACAGTAGTCCCTTGGAGCAGAGGTTTAGTCTGCAACTTCTAATCCCTTTTTCTTCGTGAATTCCTCTGGGCGCTTTGTTGAGAAAGGTCAAGGGCAGGCAGCCCCGAAGTACTGAATCGCGTCAATCGCGGGTGTACGAAAGATTTCGGCAGGCTCGTTTCTCTCTCGTTGGACTGCGGTATTCTGCTGAAGCCCCAACGATTGCCGGGTCTCGTTCGAAAATCTCTCTCTCCGCTCTCTCCTTCTCTCGCTCTCTTTCACTGACTTGACTATCTGACCCTTGCTGCGTTCCCTCACTCTCCCTCCCCGGCTGACTCACTCAGCCCTCTACCCTACCCGTTCACCCATTGATTCAATCACTCACTCACTCACTCATTCTGCCCCCTTTGCGGCTTGAAAGACTCATTCCGACCCCTAACTCGCTCTATCATTCATACTGACCAACCCACACTCTACGCACCACCGACGGAATAACATGATCGATGTCATTCGGTTTGTTTTCGAGCCCATCTTTCAGTGCCTACGACACCCACAAGCAACAGGGTGACGAGGGGATTCTTGTCCCATGAATCAGGCCGAATGGTGTTTTTGGCCCTGGTTGCGAACATTGAAGCCCTGACCTTTTGCCAATTTCCATCTAACGCACATTCCGCGAACTATTCCCCGAAGGTTGCGCAAACGTGTGTCTCTCACGCCAAAAAGAACGATGGTTCACCCACATTCGCGATTCCGTTGTGAACGGTGCTGCATGACTTGTTGTCGTGTCCCGCGTCTCTGCCTGTTTTCATGGGAGAGGTGGAAATCGGTCCCTCGATGCCCCTCCCCTGTGCACAGCGGCACTACCGCTAGCCGTAACCTCCGCAGAGCTCTCACGAAGGTCGGCTGAGCGGCCATCAAGAGCAGAAAATGTTGCTTTCACGCCGCTGCTGTCGCCCGAATTTCTCCTCTTTTGCTTGTCACCGGTTGTGCTAGCCCTAGCACCCTTTTCGGAAGGTCTGTCGCCCCGCCTCGCACCACCGCCGCCACTGATGGTATGCTCCTCCTTCCCCCCCCAGTCTTGGTCGATGTTGTCGTTGCTGCTGTGGCTGTGTTCGGCGGTTTCCCCGAACTCGTCCCCAACGTAGTCGTCCGCGACTTCTTGACCAGCAATCCCGCTCCTTGTGAGCCAAGGGAGCGGGGGGAACTGGGACCGGCGAAATGCACGCGGAGCGTGATCGATGTTGTTTTTGCTCTCGAGGACTCGCCCGCGGGCGGCAGTTGTCACCGCATTGTCAGAGAATGCCGTGTTGTCATCATCGCGCTTGCTTCCTCGCCCTGTCTTCTGGTGGGGTTCTTTCCCTCGCTCGCCTCCGCTCGTGCCGTTGGCGGCGTTCCTGCGGCGGTTGATGCTTGCCCCCGCGGCTGCAGTGAGCGGGGCGTCGGTGGGCTTGTATGCATATGCATGGGCTAATAAAAATTATTTTTCCTCGGCGCAAGGATCAGCCAGTTGTACTAGTAAACGCTTTCTTCGTGGTGTTCCCCTTTGCGCTCAAGTTCATGTTGTCGACGATCTGGTTTGGGGTTCACACCTGTATGAAAGAATGACCTAACCGAAACACCAACTGGTACCGCAAGTATATGAATTGACCGCATTTTGGGTCGGCCGGCAAGAAGGGATGGAGGGCAAGCTTCCCGCCAGAGAGGGAAAACGGATTCCCAAATGAAGCGTTGTTGGAGTCTTCAGAGTTTGCCAACGACAACTGCTGTCTCAGCGAATCTGCGTGCATCCACCAGTGCAGAGAGCCTGCTGCTTCTGCGAAAAACGATTCCCACAGGGTGCCGCGCAATAGCCTACGCTATCACTGAGAGTCTTGTCATTCCATGTAGCGGTCATCCTTCCTTCGGAACACTAATGAAGGACAGAGATCAATTGTCACCCGAGCTTCTATGACAGTGCACGGCGTGCCTCCCGCCACACTTATAGCACGAAGCTTTATCGAACGAATCGCGAGTAGACCAGTTTCACAGAAATAACATGATTGAGAATTCACTACCTTCTTCACAGAAATTCTACTATGTCGCACCCGCGGTTCAACTACGCAAGTCTACTCCCTCTGCCCGAGATATTTCATTGATTCACAAACAATCAACAATTCAATAATCGTTTGTTCACAAACCAACAATTTTTACCTTCGAACATGGAGCGCCACAGCCGCTTCTTCACATGCTCAAGACCACCGCCGGGGGTCCGCCGCTCGACTTCAATGCTACTCACTCCTCCTGTTGCTCCAGCCGCCTGGCTGAAAACCTCCTCCCCACCGTCAGCTGCTGGAAATATCGTGTGGCCGTCTCCTTTTCTGCCCGCACGATGACCCTTAGAGGCATGGCGCGCTGCTGTGCTCCTGTGCTCGAACGGAGTAACATATTTCACTTCTCTCTTTGCGTTCTTCCCACGAGTGGGCCCTGCGGCGGAGGGACTGAACGTCCGTTGCTGACCACGGGATATGTCCGGCCATTCCCAGGTAGGCGAAGAGTATGGTTGTGGGGACGATGATGTTCCATTGACGCTCCCACCCCACTTGGCGCTCATGGTGCCGTGTCTGTCGCTGATGATGCTGCTGTGTTGCAGCCCTGCGGACTCGTTAACGTCTTCCGAGAACAGGGAGAGGAGATCAGTTGGCAGGGTCTGCGGTGGTGCGGGCAGCTGGGTTTGGACGAAGGGTGAAGAGGAATATGCGAAAGCCTTGCCAATGTGACTGTCTGCAGTTACTGCCCCGCATTGGTCGCGTCCGAGGTGCTTCCCCTGGGATGACGGCGATGGTTCCTTGGCATCAGGCACGGATGTCTCCGGTTGAGGATAATCACAGCCATCTGATACGGATGGTGCTGGTGACTGTGGTACTGCTGTATGTCCATCATGGCCGTTGCCATCAATGTTGTTGGTGGGTGTCAACCTCGCCCGCAGTCTTTCGTTGATCTGTCGTTTTCACACGGACAATCATGTCAAGAAGGAACAAATTTACCCTCGAGACGATGATAGAGCGGGACAACCTAATCGAGAGCCCAGGGGGCCAATGAAGCAAAGTATGATGACACCTTCTGTCCCGAGATATTGCGTACATGTTCACTACTGTAAACACTCTCGACAACTGGGAAAGCGCTGGAGTTACCCGCAGGCGTTCCCTGTCCAATCAGATGAGAGTTAAAAGCAAATGAAGCAATTATCAGCACTCGATTATTAAGAAAACTTGGTGCTCCGTGGGCGGGATGCCCTCTATTGGTCCAGTCGCTGCACAGCCCAAATATCTACAAGCACATACCGAGTGTTTTCATGAGTGCTTCACTCAAAGCAGGCATGCTTGCCAACCACTCGGATGTGTCCAGCAAAAGCCCCTAGACTCGACTACTAGTCTAGAGTCCATGCTTACCACTGTAGGCACTGCCAAGCGAGTTACCGATCGACCAGTTTTCTGGGTGAGCAACTCGTGCTTCTCCGTGTTCCAAGCGCTCAAGCTATTTGCTACACGACGCTCCTGTATATGCGCCAATACCATTTTACCGTCGCAAACCACCAGGGCCTGCCCGCTCGCTCCGTCTTGGCGCCGTAACATGATTTTCACTTCGAACGAGGTCGCGAGTGCGGAGAACTCTGCAGAGTACACCTCAGGTCCAGACTCACCTTGCCAAAGTCTCTAGAGTTCAGTTCCAGCCTGGTCATCAGCACGTTACTCATGATACTCACGTCGGAGGACTCTTTGGGGAGATGCTAGCAGACACGCTGCTGGTGTGTGTGTGTCTCCTGTGGTCTCACACCATTATCATGATTTTTTTTGAGATGGGAGGCACGGAATTGGAGCCGGATACCACACCCCCGGCTCACACACGGGCCCCCTCGAACATATCGCGGTATGCCTCCTCAACCCCTCAACGTCCAACGCGAAAGTCTTTTTCCGTTTTTGTAATCGCGAGGACCAAAGGCTCCTGCGTTGTCTCAGGCTAGTGCAGCTTGGTTTGGCTGATGCCACTGCTGTGATGGTCAATTGAAGACCGAGTGCTTGATTTGTGGACGAAGGGCCGGCCAAGACACAATCGTCTTGCAGGTTTATTCTTGAAACACACTTGCACCCCCCTGCACCCGCGCTGCTCCTGCTCCTACCTGGCAGAGTCACATTGCTTACTCTCGCAAAAAGGGCCACAGTAGTGCTGTCGGCAACATGTGATTTGCAGCCTACCATCAGACTTCTGGATACTAAGCTATCACCCAGGTTTAGTTTGGTCTAGCTCGTGACCATGAAAACATATGCTTCGAAGTACACTGTATGATATTTTAGTCAATCTCCGACGAACAGGCCCAGGGTCACACTGAGGAAGGAAGATTTGTACACCATGCCTGCTGGCGCATGTCTTGACTTTGAATTCGAAAAACATTCCCCGTCGACAGCAAAGTCCAATGTGTTGCCAATACTCGAAATATTGTAGTTCCTTGCCCGGCGAGCACATTGCGAAACCAGTCCTAGTTTGTGGTACAGTGCGGGGATTCGAATCCACACCTCACACCTCCGGAGGATATCGGATAGTCCAGCAGAATTTCATATTTCATGGACATGTGTGCAAACAAGCGTGTGACATCCAGCAAGCCTTTCATCACCTTCGTTCTCGCTGTGTCTGCCGCAGCTGGATCGAGAACAAACCGGCCGGGGGACTCACGTACGCTTCGTCCCGCAGGGGGTGCGCTGGTGCCTCGTACGAGCGACACCCGATGCTGGTGACCGATGAGGTAGCAGGACCAAACCATGGAAACTTCAGGCAGATTTATCTGCCCTACACGTGCGGAAGATGGCCTCAATATTCGAAGGATAACAAAGAAGTCTCGACGGTGAACAACAACGAAGACATCGCTAAACATCACCACTACTCTACTTCCTGCACAAGGATAGGCTCACAATCACCACACCATACCCGCGCACATATTCTTGTGATGTCAACTGCCAACTCTGTCTGCATATGCCCCAAGAACAGAGACCTACGAGTGCAAAGGGAAGGCACCCGAGCTCGAAAAACACCCGACACCCATTCTAGGCAAACAGTCCTGCCAAAGGGCACTGACGCAAATATACCAAACATAGTTGGAATGAGAGATCTCGAGGCACACAAAGCCAGCAGCAGCGCCAAAGCAGTTTCGGGCACTACATTACCATCAACCAAAGAGTTTACATGAAAACGTTACGGCTTACGCTAAAGTCATTCCCACATGTCATGGGTGAAAGACGTGGAGAAGCGAGGAAAAAAATAACGTTGCGGCGTCTGCGACAACACTTCCCGATAATACTTGCATCAGAGAAAATAGAAATGCCACAGATCACCGCTGGCCCAAACCACACCACACATACGCCTGGGGGAAGAAATTGAGCTCACGATTCCCCCACCAATACTATTCGCCAGCCGGTTCGCTCACCAGAGACGAGCTCCGGTGTCATCTCCGCCATCACACGGTTTCGGCTGCATCTGAAATGGCATGGGCAACATCCAGCCAATCTTCTTCGGCAATATCAACTTCATCCGTATCCTCTGGCTTCCAATCCCGCTCACTACTCTCTGACAACCCCAATGCAGATGGCTCGGGCGTGGTGACCCCCCTGGCAACACCCACGGAGTGAAGCCCTGCCTCAGATTGATAGAATGCACGATTTGAGGATGTCCGCGAAGTAGTGGGTGGTGCTGTAGGCACCAGAGTGGGCCCGATGTCACTCTCAACCCCGCTGTCAGTAGGCCACACGGGTGCAGTCCCGATGATCTTTCCGGGTATGCTGTTGAAGGCCGGCAGTATCTCGCGCTGGGTGAATCCATGGCCATGAGGAGCATCCTCGTCTATGTTGCTGCCAGTGACCTTTGTTCCAAAGTCGGCATCGATGTCGTCGACGGGTGGCTCCAAGAAGGGTCTCACGTGCCCACAGGGGATGAGCCCCTCGATGGATCTGCAAAGCACGTGACACGTGCCGGAAAACGTCTTCACATCGAGTGGGCGGCTGCTGAAAACTGTCCACACAGTAGTTCACGGTGTGCCATGTGCTTCACGTCACCGTAGGCGTGAGAAAAATACCTTCTTCGTCAAAGGCTTCCTCTACCAACCCCTGGCGAACCCTGGTATTTTTCCGATCGATACCTGCACACCACATGATCTGCATGGGACTCTAATCGTGCAATACATACCTGCAGGATATTTCATCGCAAAAGGCGCCCACTCCGCGCCACTCCACGAAAGGGGGCACGGGATGGGAGCCAGGAGGACGAAAATAATTCAAAATTACCCGTATCCTGGCGTACATCGCCTGGTCATTCGAACCGCCGGCCGCTGCGAGACATATAAGCAATATGTGTGCCATGTGGTACCTTTTGATGGACACGTCCGCAGATGAGAGGTGAGGAGAGAAAGGGGCACCACGAAAGACGCGTCGACTCGATGGCAGCCACTAAGAAGACACGTCGCGTTCTTTGCAAGCAGGATGGCGGCGAAAAATGTATGAAGCATAGTTGTACCACATCAACAGTCGAGTGGTGATGATGGACCCTCGCGTCGACTGAAACAGTCCATCCATCAAAGAAGATCTGGAGAATATGTGAGACAAGTTACCTGTGCTGTCAAACTACCCCGTGAGCGAGTTTGAATTCTGGGTTTAGTGTACTCGGTCGTATTTCCAATCTGCGGTCCTATGGTGTGTCATACTTATTCAGAGGCCAATAAGCCCGAGCCCATCGTTGCACCGGGTATCGTTCACTCTTTGAAAATCTGGGCGTGGTTTATGTGAGTTCGGTCTTGTATCCCGATCTCGCCGCCCGCACGTAGTACGGGGCACACCTGGCCCCTTTGATTTTCCGAAACGTGTCAATAAGTGAAGGATTTCACCCTGTAACGAGCGGTACTTGTACAAGAGTGACAACGCTGCGAAGGAGAGCGGACGTTGCCCAGGCTTCGCAGAAACACTGCTACCATCACTGCCTCCTCCGCAAGCCTCAAGGAGCCCACGAACGGCTCACCCGATCATACAGCGACACAAGCCAGGATATCGCTCAAGCACTTCAATGCAACGGCCGATGCTCTTCCGTGCCGCATGCAGATCGCCCTTCCCCGCCGTCCGCACGATACAGGGTCTATTGGATGGAGGAGGGTCGTGGGGGCGATCAAGCAGTGCATGAGAGAATCCTGCCGGGCTGGAATGAGAACATACTTGGCGCCAGCGCCACCATTCTGGAGATGTGACGGAAATGACAAGCGTAGGGATCGCTGAATCAGAGGGTACAAGATGGGGTGGCGTTCCGAGGCCGGTGTTGGCTTCTTGAGCACACGACTCTGCACCAAATAACGACGGCAGGAAGTAGTCAAGGGAAACGGCCACGGCAAGGGAATGGCTGCGGGTGGGATTCACATGTGGACATGGTGTTAGAGGTGTGAAAATATCCAATTCTGCCGCACATCCGCCCCAGCTCACCCGTTGATGAAAAGGACGCCGATCCCCAAGCGAATGCTTGATCTTGTCACCGAAGAGACCGCACCCCAGTTTGACGTGCGAGTCAATTGCGATTGAGACGTATACCAACGGTTGTACGGAAACGTGAGAGCCGGTCGAAGTGGGAAGTAGACGTTGAAGATTGATCCGATCCTCGCGATGGGTTTGCAAGCAATAGCTCGGGCCTCGATAAATCCTTGAAAGGTCAGATCAGCTTCACCTTGGCCACATGTCTCCCTACGTATGCACACCACGGTGTGCCAAAATACCACGGATACGCCCGCCTACTTTTGCAACGTGAGTGTCGACTCACCGATCCACGGCTTCTTGAAGCGGTCCAAAATCGACAAAACCGTCATCCTCCAACAACGTCCGCATAGCCTTGGAGATATCAGCAGCCATTAAGTCTTCCAGGGAAGCGGGCACCACGTCTGGCCTACCATGAAGCTCAGAGTCGCACAGGCTGTTGGTGCCACTCGCGCTCTGCTCGGTCGCTGTCGTGTAGATCGCCTTCTCAAACGCTGCGCAGGATTGAGAAAGGTATCGATACAGCTCGACTTCGGTAGCAGCCTCGTTTAGCTGAGAGCGTCGTGACAGCCGAGAGTGGAGGGGTAGGGTAGGTGAATCAGTTACCTGCCACTTCAAATACAGAAGGACCCAGCTCATTACATATTCTGGCTTGAGGATGTGCATCGCCAAGCGACCCCTCGATGCAACCAGCGCGCACACCTGAGGAGGAGAAACGGTTTCTTCTTGGACAGGGAATGGCTCCACTTGCCATTTTCCACAGGACACGTTGGCGATGTCTTTGGACTTGACGATTTCGGCGAAACCCTGGTCAGCGCATGGCAGCACGGAAGACACAGAGCAGCAGTATCAATAGCTGCCCCAACGGCAGCACGAGGTGGCAAGAGGACCGTCGCTTGTTCGCAGCAGTGACTTTGGTGGTTGCCAGTATAGGGCTGTCTCTAAGGAACCACGAGAATTGTTCGGTTCAGCTCACACAACGAAGGTATCGTTGGCAGGAAATCCTCCATCGCACGCACAACTCAAGGAGAACATTCTAGAGGGAGCCACCATCACCACTCAACTTCAAGCGCCAAACGAAACTCTCAGCACCAACCTTGAAAAGAAGTTCTCACCACTGGAAGCGAGGGATCGGTAGACCCTTGCGTTCTCAAGAATGAGTCCGAAAGAGCCAGGTATTTCTCGAACCTCTCCTGAAGGAACGCATTTACCATGCCGGTATCGAGCAAACGCACGTCGGAGGACACCACGCTAACATGTCAGCTGGAGCGGATCAATATTTCAATGTGCCAAGCGCGCCATTGGAGCGACCCGCCTGCAACCTCGCTAGGGGCCTGATGCATTGTCACAGAGAACAAAAAACGAAGTCCCAAGAGTCAGGGGAGATGGACATCCAAGTGTAGGACACAGTCACCGAAAGAAGCTCACCTTGTCTCCCATGAAGCCGTGCAGGTTAGCCAGAATTACCCATGCCCTGGCCAGAAACAAAAAAACAGGGAGAACAACGATGAACGTGAGTTATCATCGCACAACCACAAAAAACACTGTTGAGCAGAGAAGCCTGGCGGACAGGTCTCGGACATAAGTACCAAGAGACTCGAGATCACAACACCCCCAGAGGAACGCGTGGGTCAAGCGATACGACAATCGAAAATCGCGCAATACCTCTAATGAGTATAGGTTGTTCCGGGTTGACTCACTTTGCGACCTCGGCGTCTCCGGGACCGGACCTGCTATTGGAAAGCGCTTCTTCTGCCAGTTGGGCGTAACTTGTCACCTGCGGCAGCGAAGCGCCAAATGTATAGACGGAGGTCTGCAACACGGACGAACAAGCCACGATGGCGCCCTATGGCATGAGTGACCTCAACGAATTCCGAGAAACGATTTGGTTCCTTGGCAAACAACAACTCATTCTCACACTATTGACTTGAACTATGACACGCCGTTATTACCGATTCGATCGGGTTCCCCTTTGCGAGCGCCCCGAGAGCAACTGCACACCAGAACGTGCACGCTGAAGGGTCCTTAGCAAGCTGGTTTCGTGCGGGGGCCTTGCCCAGATCGCCCCCCGGAGCGACTGCTTTTAAGTAGTGCCCTCCCTCGTCACAGTCGTCCCCAAGGGCTGGCTGCTGAAAGGAGGCGGGGGGTAACATGATCTTCACCATTGTCTCCCGTATTTGACTGGCAAAATCAACACAGATGGCGCGAAAGTGCCACGGGTCGGATGGATGCGTAGGGACAGTACTAGAGAAGGGAAGAGCGGGAAGAAACACAAGAAAAACTACACCTGTAGACGAGAATGTCAACGCCGCTTGCGTTGCGGCAGCTTCCATGATTGAATAGGCCAAGGTCGCGAATCAATCGCCGCGTCGACGCAGGCAGCATTCACGACCCAATGCGTTCGCGGTTCCAGGCAAGCTGGATGTAATACCTCGGGGTGGTGAGTGGAAGAAAACCATGGCAGCCGAAGAAGTCGCTGAGGAAGGCGTTCTCCTGCATTCCCACAAGGCCAGTTGCGGGAGAGGCACTTAACCTACACCTATTACCCCACAATTGAGAGCACGAAACGAATGACAGGGGCAGGGGGGGGTGTACTCATGGTCGTGAATGCTGAAGTCGTTTGGCCATTCACCTCGCATCCCTACAACGCCAGGACGGAGCGCGCCGGGTTCTCACCGGAACAGGCTCTCACATCACCAAGCGCGAAGCGCCGTGAGTTTTTCGGCGAGTTGCATGGAGGGTCCGCTGCATCCTGCGAAGGGTGTTCGGCATCTTGTGCTTACCTCCTTGCGTACGGATGAGAGCTGCGACGACTTGATATTTTTTTTGGGGCTTTCACTTCCAGAGACAGCAATAAGCACTGCCTAACTGCCTCGAGGGTGCTTGACCATTTTAACACAACGTGGTGCGATCACCCCCTTTCCGCGGAGTGAAGGTTCTCGACCCCGCACAACATGATCTACTCGACCACCAGTATGGTTACCGCCAAGAAAAAACAGACGTAAAAAGAAAACAGCAACCTGGTTGCCGAGTTCACGAAGTGATTGGCTTGTATTACAACGTCGTTGCCAAGCGACGAAAGCCCAACCCCGATGGCGAACACCNTCCGCGGAGTGAAGGTTCTCGACCCCGCACAACATGATCTACTCGACCACCAGTATGGTTACCGCCAAGAAAAAACAGACGTAAAAAGAAAACAGCAACCTGGTTGCCGAGTTCACGAAGTGATTGGCTTGTATTACAACGTCGTTGCCAAGCGACGAAAGCCCAACCCCGATGGCGAACACCGGAGGAGGGGGTGGGGCAGGGCGGGGGGGGGAGGGGGAACCGTGCAACCAAGACCCCACGGGTAATCTCAGTCGGCACGAGAGGCGAAAAGCGAGCTGTCTTGATTTTGGCCGACATCGCTGCCGCTGCATTGTGACTAAAACAGCCCACCATCCTTGGCCATCGGTGATGCCAGCCGTGGTGGGAACTCTCGTTGTTGTCAACTACTAGGAATTTTGCCCTCTTCCCGGCATGTTTCTTCGCTCTCGGCTCTTCCACAATCGCGCGCCCCCAGGTGAGTAGTCGGGTGATCTTACCTTGCCTCGGCGGAGGTTGGATCTGGGAAATGCTACTCTTTTCACTGATTGGTCCAGAAAGTTACGAGAATTATCATGTTTGTGTCCCACTACATGTGTCTGCCGTGAGTCATGCCAGCCATTCTTGAAACTTTCAATCGATCCACTGTTGTTTGTCCCAAATTTTGTGTGTTTGTATGCTGTGGAAAATAGTACCCCTCACACCACAGCTTAGACCCGAAGAAAAGGGGGGAGAGGGGAGTCGGATTCCTGGTCAAGGAACACTCGTTTGATGTGGTGGAAGCAGTGGTGAAAACGGAGTTCGAGGAAAGCCTATGGCTTGAGATACCTAGGGAGCGGGGTGAGAAAGATTTGTTTCTAGGGAACGTATACGTCCCGCCGTCGTCGAAGAAAGTCGCAAGCAAGGCGCAGGAGAACTTTGGACAAATTGGGGAAGATGTCCAGAGGTTCAGTAGGAAGGGAGGAGTTGTCATGGTGGGCGATTTCAACTCCAGAGTAGGGAAAGCTTCCAGTAGAGGACAGGCGATCGGGCAGCACGGAGAAGACAAAGTGAATGACAACGGAGTGAGGATGCTTGAATTCTTGGGAAGCAACGAACTGATGGTGTTGAACGTTAGGAGGGAATGCGATAAGCCGGAGTTCACCAGGCAACGGGCAGTTTGCAATGAATACTCAATCCTCGACTACATCCTGGTAGATAGGGGCAGCACACCGATCCCAGAGCTGCACGTAAGTGCGATAGGTATAGGTTCGACCGATCACTTGCTCATATGGGCAAACATCGACCGATCTAGAACGATGGAGAGTAAGAAACAGAGGAGGAAGTGTTCCCGTGGAAAGTAGAGCGTTTGGGAGACGAGGGGACACGGGATGAA